TTGATAATGATTTTATATATCTCCGTACCAAGTTCCAGTAATCTATCAAAAATATTTCCTGAGAAATGCAGTATGAAAAATTCCGTTTATATGGGAGGTGCCACGCCCCCTTGTCTAATCGAGGTTAAATTTATCCTATATTTTAAGTTGGGCTAAATGACAGCAGTATACAAAATTTCATGATGATCGGTTGAGTAGTTAAGGCGTGAAAGCGAAGCAAACAAACAAACTCACTTTCGGATTTATAATATTAGTAAGGATTGATAATATACATAGATGAAGATGCTGGAATCATTATTATGGCACCATGTTGAGCTAATAAATGAACACATGAATTTACTGGCAACGAGAAGGGCGAAGGACTCGCAAATTCTCTGAACGAGCCGGCAAGCTATAATAATAAACAAAATTTCCTTTATGTCTTAAAAGGGAGAACGCTGGGGTACTAGTTGTACCTACAGGACGCTGATGGTTTTACATGCCCTTAAATTAGATTTAACTAATGACAAAACTTGCATGGGATACCGAACGAACAAAGGGTTTGTGGAGCATATTCTCTATGAGTGTCTTGCCCTTAGCAGGCTGCAGTTTAGGCGACGCCGAGTCCAATTCAGAGGGAGGAAATGAGACGTCCTACCGAATTCTATTTAGTGATACTTCTGATATTTTACATGTGAGCCCGTAAAAAGCCGAAAATGTAAGGTACTTTCAGTTTTATCTTTCAATAAGTAACTTTTGAACTCGAAGATTCGTCATAAAATGTAAAAATACCTTTTTCGTATAGCATTCAGTTTCATGTTGTCAAGTCCTTCTGTACCGGTTTGTACCGTAGGAAATATCCGTTTTTGGCATTGCCGCGGCGGATAGGTAGTGGGTGGAGAACATGGTACCTCCGTGAGGTTTTAAGTCGTTCATCATGCATTGATGGTATAACAATACACTACTTTTAAACGTCATCCCAGAAAGAAAGGTCTATTGTGTTCCTAGGCGGACTTCGTTTCCCACACATAGGGGTGGCACCAAATAAAAACGGGTCGTTCCCACGACAGTCGGGTCTACGTAACCGGAACGACACCGTTTTATATTTGGCCAAGGACTGTCACTCCAGCAACACTCCCCAAAAACTCTTTCGGGAACTTGTATGCTGCTACAACAACAACAGTAAAAACGGATTAGCGAATTCTGAAACAGTAATTACGCAGATATGTACCCAAATATCCAGCTAACCCAAACCAAAAAAAAAACAAATGTTTCATAGAAATGCATATTTGCAATCATAACACGACCTTAAAGTAGGAACAATGCGAAAAAATAAATTTGTAAGAAAAAATTTTGATTTTGTCGCAAGTAATTTGAATTAATTTTTCCACTTGTGCGCATATATAAAAAGCCAATCTGATAGATGAGCAGTTTTTGAATATACATATCTGTGGTCAAGCATTGCTTTAAATTTTTATAAATCGTTTGAAATGTATAAAATAGTTTACTTTGACATTCGCCAATCTATTAATCACATTCAATATTCAGCCAAAAATGGACGCTTCTCTGGACGAGATCCGTTTTCTATGGCAAGAGTCCTGCTTTCCTTAGCTCTGCTTTTGTTGTATAAAATGTAGGTAAAATTGAAAGTTTCAGTATAAATACATAGCGTTCACATAATTTAGTATGTTTTTAAGTGAAGAAATAGGAACTTCCTTAGAAATAAAATAAATGTTCCTGCTCATTTTCTCCAAAATTCAAAAAACTTAGTACTTGAAGCCAAAATATTTGCGTAGAAGGTGGGCGCCGTAATAAGAAATTTTTTATTATCTTCCAAGTTGGAACATTCTGGCTTAAACAAGCTGGGCCCACTAAATTTCAATAAAACAAAAAAAAAATTATTTGCGTCTGTTTATCTAGAATTAGGGGACGATACCGATTTTTACGATCTTTCAGATTTATGCTTTGCTCGTTGAAACCAGCATATGCCCTGAATTTCATCAAAATCGGATAACATTTACTATTTCCGCCCACAAGAGCTGTGGGCGTGGTAGCGCGTTGAATTTAACCTTTTTCCACATTTCTTCATTCCTAAATATCGAACAGCGCATATACGAAATTTCAGCGAATTTCCAGTACGGTTACTACTTTTGGCCGCAGCTTATGTATATGGGGACGTCCCACTGTGCGACGCTTACTTATCATAAGAAGTTTATCTACATAGTTATGTACATCTCAGCCGCTTGGTCAATCTACACCCAATTTGATGGACAAACGTTGCCGGAAAAAGTATTAACACAGAATTATTCATAATACGGGTAACAATTTTTTTCATTATTATTAATTATTATATTATTAATTATTATATTATTAACACAGAATTATTCATAATACGGGTAAAAATTTTTTTCCACAATTCTTTTTTTATAATCTCTAAAATTTGTGCATAACTCAGGAAAGTTCATCCAGATTTGCAACTTTTTAATCAGATTTTTAGAGTACGCAGTTTTGTAGCCCATTCAATTTTAGTACAATAAGGTGTAAGTCTAAAGTAGCTAGGATTTACCGTTGATTTTTGGAATTTTTTTCACTCATTTTCTTCCACCAAAAAAAGGTTCGAAAATACTTTGTATGGAAAATATGTTAAACACCTTCGACAAAAAACTCAACCCGTTTTTAAACAACTTCAAGCTTGCAATTTTTTGATACTAAAATTTATTGGGCTACAAATCTGCATACTCGAAAAAATTCTAAAAAATCTTAATAAAAAGTTCCAAAAAACTTTCCTGAGTTTTGCAAAAATTTTAAAAACTGCATATATAAGTATATTTTTATGTTTTTTGTTGTAGGGTGAACTGTATTTTTATAAAAAATTATAGATTCATTTCTGCAGCAAAAAGATTTACCTCTCTTCGCCATCTACTGCATTTTAAAACAAAACAGGAAATTAGTATGTTTTCATATAATTTTTCGCTATAATATGCACCATTACTATTTAAATTTTAAAACGTCGATGTGTTTTTTTTTGGCAACCCATTCTGCACATGGTCGTGGACCTGCTATTTTTACCGCAATAAAAAACTAATCAGACTAAATACAAAATAAAAATACTGCATACAATGCTACGAATTAATGACGTACCATCGAACCTGCACCTTTCGACCCTGAAACGTTGTAAATACCGATTGGCCGTGAAATCTAAACGACTGCAATCTACTATAAATACCACCCACTCTCAGATGCAGCCGTTAATTGAATTTTGGTCGATTAATTGTCAGGACGTGCCCGTGTCGTACGCAGTGACAGAAGTGCCAGAAGCAATTGGAAAGAGACGAGGAATCGGTCGAATAGGTAGAATTGTTGGATCACAAAGAAGCTGAGTGTTGAAAGTTAAAAAAAAAAAACAATAGCAGGTAAATATTTTGGGATTCATTCAACAAATAATGGAAATAATCAATTTTTATTATCTCTCAAAGCATGGGCGTTTCAAAGAGGCTACCTAAGTACGAGTCGGATGCTTTCGACAATGTTGAATATCAGATCCAGATGACGTACACCGTAGAGACCGATCGCCGCATTATGAGTTTCGTCGATTCTCGTTGGGGCATCGAAGTGACAGGTGGTGTTGATCAATTCGAACCGTTAACCATAATTAATGTAACACCAACTGGTATGGCACGTAGTGCTGGCATGCGTATCGGCGATGAGATCACACAAATAAATGACACGTTAGCGTTGGGGCTGACTTTCAATGAAGCATTGGAGTTGTTTCGAAAAAATAGGCGTTACGTGCGGGTTTATGTTAGAGGGTAAGGAATGATTAATGGACGTGATTATGAGAATTAGTATTATTTGTTTTTTCTTTAGCGATATTGATGACGATGGCGAAGAAGACTGGACGTGCCACTTTTGGTTTAAGCCACGTAAGTTTTACGAAATACGTCAGGACAAGACATGCTTTCATATTTTAATTTAATTAATTATTATATTATATTTCTTCTATGCAGGCAAACCTTGGCGCCGCGACTTCACTCCTATCCAATGGGAGTTCCCATGGAACGATCGTCGCAAGCCGATCTATCGCGAATCGAATTGCTTCATGGTGCCCAGCAAGATGGAGGAAAAGATACGCCAGCGACGTGCCGCAACTTCCGCGGTGCACAAGAAGGAAGAACTCGCGCCACATACCCGCTCATTGACACCATCACCACGGCCCAAAAACCAACCTGGCGAAAATTTGATGGAAACTATGTTCAAAAAGTAATCTAAACGATGTTGAAGCGGGGAAACGCGATAGCAATGAATGCTGAAAACATTGTGTTGAATTTGGCAAACAAAGACGAAATATACAAAGGCAAAAATTTGTTGGAAAATTCGCAACGCAAATAAACGCCGACAGTTTTTCATTCCAGTTCCAGAAAAAACAAAAAGAAGCATGCGTCTGTATATACTGCCACATACTTGATTAAAGCTCACAAAAGAGATAAATAGAGTGATAGAAGTTAGTCTTAAGTTCAGAAGATAAAAGTTGGGGAACGAACTAAAAACTCAATTTTAGTTTGAAGTGAGGTAAAAACCGAAAATCTAATACATAAATAAATTATATAAACACTTGTTATAAAGCTGGCAAAAAAACTTGCAAAGCTTCATAAAATAATATAATAATAAAAACGTTTACGATAACTCGCAAAACTTTTTTAATTATAGCCAACAAAGAAGACTAATACCTATTCATTAAACCTATGCACTTGCATAATAAATGAAAATGCACTTGATTGCCACTGTGTGTAGCTAGGTAGAGTTCATGGTTTAGATTAACGTAGCTTATTTGTGCCAGCTAACAAAAATTAGAAATGCGTTGTACACTTTTTATGCGCAATTTTAGCGTATATCCTAACATTGCAAACAATAAAACTGTATTTTCTTATTTTGTTTATTTTCAATTTTTATTTAATTCCGACAAATGTGCTAACGTGCCAGTGGAAGTTGTCTTTTAAGTTTATAAATAAATCACCGTGAAATGCGAAGTCTAGCCAATTTCATTTTATTATTGTGTTTGTTTGTGTGCGAAGTTTAAATGTGATGAAACCATTGAAATGAAATCAAGAGAGCCAATGTCATTAACAAACGCAAAAAATAAACTGAGTTTTACACACAAAAAAAACATGGCGAACTTAGCTCAGTGGGTAGGCTGCTGGCCAGTTGGAGAAGTCCGATAAAATGTGGTGATCTCCGATATAGCTATAACTTCTCTCAAAAATGTAAATTGCGGGTTTTTTCACAAAAATTTGCATTGAAAATGGCCTCAAGTTCAATAAAAAATTTTGAATACAAACAACAAAAAAAACTTTAAAAAATATATAATGTTCTACTTGCATCTCTTTTTCGCCAATGAATTGCATGAATTTATAGCAAATACACCCGAAACTATTTAATTACTTATACAGTTTATTTAATTTGCTTAAGATAATAAGTTAAAAATGCTTTATATATCCGGGCTTTGTTTTTGTTACAAGGTTCGCAAACCAGATTTATCCAAACCGAACATTTTGTTTTTAAATATTTCGTTGCACGTAAAATGAAATGGCTTAAATTAGGATGCATTGAATCTAAATGTTTTTACTTTTTAGTTTTCGATGAAAAATAGATACACATAAAGCATTTCATTATTTTGGTAAGACTTTAGTTTTTACCAGTCATACTTCCGCGTTTAGTATTTATATTACTTGTTTATTCTGAATATCCTCCTGCGATTACTGTTTCTTGTATTATTGTTGTTGTTGTTGCTGTTGATGTTATGTTTGCGATTGCAGTGGCTATTTACGCTTTTCGAATTTATATTTTGGATTTCTGGTAATGTACCCTTTTGCTTATAGCTATTTGTTTGACCCGTGGCTGGATATTATTCGCGATGTAACAATACAAATATTGCTAAGATCGATAATATTGCCCACTGCAACATAAATATTTCATTAAAAGTAACAAAAATATAAAAATATCTGTTAATTAGCATTACCTTAACTTTAGGATACTCATTCATAAATATCGTTATTATTCCAACATATGGAAGGAACCCTCTAGCACGCCCGACAATGTCCTTTTTCGTTAGCCATAATTGGCCAGGAGCATAAAGACCTCGATCATCGACGTTGTTGTTGTCACCTTTGGTCAGGAATTTCACTGAACCATCTTCCCTAAAATGTAAATTTGTTTATGATATTCGCGCATAAAATTCTTTGTGCATTAACATTAACATAATTGAAGTGCGCATGATTGTTGATCTTACTTCTCATGCAGTTTAATGACTCGATGCACAATGGGTATATCTCTCCCCTCTACTTTGAACACAACAATTTCTCCTACACGTACTGGTTCCTCCTTATAATTAGTGAGAAACAGCAAATCTCCTCGATGGAAAGCCGGCTCCATACTGCCACTGAGAACCACCACAATAGGCGATTCACTGCCAGTCACCACCATTAACCCCTTCCAGATCATCAGAGCGGACGATACAATCATCGCAAAACTTAATATTTGATATAGTGACTGTAAAGATATGAAAGGAAGGTATGTATATATGTATAAACAAGCAATTGTTATTAAATAAATGTTGAAATACTTTCGGCAAGTGCATACGTGTAATGGAAGCACTCGTACCCCGCCACGCTTCCCTTAACAACAAAACACAGCACAGTTAACTTACTTGGCGTTTGTTCATTCTGTTAAAATCCCGCAACATTTCATCAACCTGCAACATCTCCCCCAACCCCATTGTTTTGTTTTTTATATTTGAACGATTTCTATAAACTTAAATTATGATAAATAAAATAATTCTACAAGCTGCAGGAATTTTTCCTCTGAAAATCTTTCCAATCAGTGAAGTTTCTGAGGCCGCTACCACGAATTCGTCTACTGTCAAACAACGCCGCGCGGACGCCTATTGAACACGTCAGTTTATTCCCTCAACAGAGTTGCAACTAGCTCGTAGTTAAAGCCGTTAATCGAAAATGATTTATCGAACTCTCGTGTGAGCAAAATGACGAACGTGAAAGTTGAATTATAAGTTGCAGCAATCCGCATTTCGCGCGAGCTATTTAAACTAAAAACTAAAAAAATAAGGGACAAAGTTACATACACATCAGCGTCTCTTTAGTTATCATAGTTAATTTTATACGATTTTTGGAACAAATGCAGAATACCTACATTTCTCAAATTTAAAAAAAAAGTTATGAGGGTCGATACCCAACAAACAAAAAAAAAATATAATAAATAAATAAATAGTTCTCAAGTTGATATCCAACATCATTCTCTAACTCATCTCTAACCGACGCGCTGATACTTAAAAAGTGAAAAACTAAAGCTATATACAAGGCGCATCAATACAAGGTGGTGTTGATTGATCAGCTGATTGGATATTTTTGTCTCTACACTAGTGCAGGAGAATGTCATCCAAGACGAAGCGGCGCAACTTTAGGATGTTAACAAAAGAAAATGATGAAAATTATCTCCTATTCCCTTTCGTTTTGACATCCTCCTGTACCTCCAGATCACGTAAGAACGCGACGTTGTTTTGTATCTGGTTTTGAGAAAAAAGTTTGCGAAAGCGGGTTCGTGAGCTGAGCGTTTGTTTACATCACAAGCACCACTATTTTACACTTTTATTCAAGTAAAGAAGAGTTAATTCAACATGACAACACATTTTAAAGCATTTTGTTGCATCATTTTACCTAAATTGTGCGCTTAAAGTGGCTGACAATAATTTTGGCTAATTTTGGTTTTCGTTGTTTTCTTTGCTTTGTTTACTTTTCGCTCGTTTTCCAGTGAAACAAGATGGCGTAGAACCCGCTAAAAAAAATCGACTTTTTTCACTCTCTTGTTCTTACGTGATCTTGTGTCTTTCGTTCATGAGGCAACAGGCTGTGAAGCAGCGTTGCCAGGTTGAGCTTTTTAACGTCATTTGGTCGTTTTTTATATCTTGTGGAAGTTCGGACGTTTTTTGTGCAAAAAATGACGTTTTTTACCTTCCGAATAATTTTTCTCTGTTACTAAATCTTGTAGGTAGAACTGATTTTGAATTATTTTCTTAATAAATCTTAACAAGCTTTGTTTTTTGCAGTAGCTTCTTCAAAAGATATTTATCCTTTGTACACAAATGACTTAAATACGATGCAAACCAAGCGTGCGCGCATTTTTTTTGGATTCTTGGACTAAGGATCCCGCGTAAGGATTGCGCTCAAATTAAATGCAAATACAGAAAACGTGCCCAATAAATAAAAAAAATGCGATTAGTATTGCCATAATGCAACCCTGCTGCGAGGTTGCAAAATGTAGACGCGTAAGAAACATACCTTTGAGTGTAACAAATTGTAGACGGCGTCGTTTTCCAATTTTGTATGGGAAACAACAACACCACAGATTTTACGGTTAGAAAACGTCTTAAAATGTAGACGTCTACATTTTGAGACACTATTTGGAACGAACTGTGAACACCCCAAATGCAAACACACTTTAAGCGCGATTTTGACGATTTTTAGTTCCAGACGCAGTTATATATTTCGAGATAAGGTCTTTCGATTGGTGTTATCAGTTTTTAGATATCTCCTTTAATTTCCGAGATATTGAATACCAACTTTTTCGATAATTTAGTAAAAATTTAGTTGGTGATGCAATCACTTTAAACTAATCAATATCTTAAAAATGGCGTTTTCCATTTTTGGATATCTCCTTTAGTTTCCGAGATATTGAGTAAAAAGTGTCGTTAATTTGATAGAATAGTGGCTGCCAAATTGTGGACAAATGATACTATCGATTGTTTTCCAGCTCTATTGTGAACTGATATTTTAAAATTGTCTTTTTCAATGTGCATTTGGTGGCTGTGCTCTAGGCTGTGAAATTTTTCTTTTCCATTGAAATTATGTACGGTTTATTATATTAATGCTATTAAGCTGATATATCGCGAGATAAATTCTATTAACTAGAGCATTTGTTTTAACTTTATCATACATAATAAAAGCATATTTACACGAACCATCATAGCTGAACCATGGGTGATCACAAATTGCTGGACACCACACAGGTTATCAATGGTATTGCTGTGTTGCTATCGTTTTTTGTGGGTTACAAATATGCCTTAAAGAAGCACGATATCAGCGATGAATCTAAGAACGGCAATGGCCAAAGTTCCAACAAGGGAAGAGGCGATGGGGCTTCCGTCTCTGAGAGTGTAAGAAATTTCCCAGAATAGGTGACCTACATATATTTTCTTTAATAATATGAATGAAACCTATTGAAATTCCAGTCGTTCGTTAGCTTTAGCAACAATTACAAGATGGTACTGGTAGTTCGGAACGATTTAAAAATGGGAAAGGGAAAAATCGGTGCGCAGTGTGGTCATGGTGCAGTTGGCGCATATCAGAAGGCCGTGCAGTGTACACCCCGACTCGTACGTGCTTGGGAAAACACCGGCTGTGCCAAAATTGCACTCCGCGTTGAAAGTGAACGCGAGATAATGGCTATTAAACGCGCTGCGGAAGCAAACAATCTCGTTACGTGTTTGATTCGTGATGCAGGTCGTACACAAATCGAACCAAATTCGAAAACGGTACTGGCTATTGGACCAGCGTCGGTCGAGGATATTGATAAAGTAACAGGACATTTAAAGTTACTGTAAAGCTATTTGCCTGCTATGAAATCTGTATTCAAAGGGTAATCATCTCTGAAGCAATACGCTTATCTTTTTAGATGTATGTACTAAAGATAATAAATTAGACTGCATACTACAATTTTTAAAAGTAAATAAAACATTCATTTTCATAAATACTTCATTAAAATAATTAGTAACATATTTATTAAATAAGATATTTAAACAGTATCGAAACTAACTTTAAATTAAAAGTGTAACCAGTCATCATCGTCATTATCATCGTGCTGATGATGTTGCTCCTGCTTCGACGTATCCACATTCATTGGTACCTCGTTATCTTGAGACACAGCTGAGCCGGCAATCATATTGGTATCCATGCCATCATTGGCCATTTCGCCACTATCATTAAAAACTTCACTCTTCATGGTTGCATTGCCGCCACCATCCTCTTCGTCACTTTCGGAAATGGCCAAGTCTTCGTCAATACCAACATTGTCATTGCCAGGCATAATAAGGGACATCTGCGGCATAGAAGGCATATCGCCTGACATTGGACCATCAGGTAATTGCTCATCATCTTTAGCGTATTGAATTTGCGACTGGGATGCTTGTAAATCGTCAGTGTTGTTATTACTGGTAGCACGATTGCCGAAATTAAGGAAATCAGATGGATCATAATTTGGATCTAAGTCCATCGAGTCATCTAATAGGATGAAAAAGAAATCAATCAATGTTTGTCAGAAGCTTATGTTATCAAGGGTTTGAAAAATGTTTACTGCGGAGAGCCGCGCATGAAAAAAAAAACACATA